GACAGGGATCGTTTGAAGACTGCGGTCATTGAGCTCAAACTCCGTACAGAGGAAGATGAGACAGACTTACAAATAATAAATTTTCGGTTTATCAAGAAGGGTATACGAACCCGTATCAACCGGTTGCTCAACCTCCAGGCACGTCCCGCAGTACCTCCCAGGACCTCCTTGTGGCATTCGCCAACGTGTGCAGCCTAATGAACAAACGTGACGAACTGTGCCGCTTCGTTGTCTCGGAGCGGCCGGACGTTTTAGGACTTGCAGAGACTTGGCTGAACTCCGACGTCATACCTCAAGAAGTCTTGTTGTCAGGATACTCTTGTTTCCGATGCGACCAAAAATCAAAGGCTCACGGTGGTGTTCTGTTGTACATAAAATCGTCACTATCTGGCAAACTTACCAGCACCTATCGAAGTGAGGATAGTTTATGCGAGCAGTTGTGGTGCACAATCCGCCTCAGGCGCGCAGAACTAATAGTGGGGGTTATCTACCAGAGCCCATTAAACCGTTGTTGCGATTGGCTACCACATGTACAGAAGCACATGAGCCGCCCTCAGTTCTTACTGATGGGGGATCTAAATTTACTTAAGATATGTTGGCCAGACGTTCGACTTCTTCCTGGTCATGACAACGTTGAGGCTCAATTCACCAAAATGACTATTGAAATCGGGGCAACGCAACATGTCATCCAACCGACGCGCGTAACTCCGTACTCGGCATCTTGTCTGGACTTAATGTTTACGAGTTTCGAGCAGAAGCTGAACGAGATCAGAGTCATCGAACCTCTGGCGAACAGTGACCACTGCTCCATTGTGGCAAGCTTAGAACTGTCGTTACTGTGAAGTCGGTCCTTCAGGGACAAAACGGATATTCTGCAAACAACAGGACCAGGCGAAAACGGAGACAGAGGGCGAGTGAAACATATCGGTAAATACAGCTGGTTGGATCCATAATTAACGACCTTTGTTGATGCATGACATTTTTCCTTTGATTCAGTCAAACAAACTCACTCCAATGCGTCCACTGTTGGCCAATCAGCGTGCATGCGAGAAACGTGTGAACGTCCAATCGGTTGCCGCCTTTGCTTGCGGCAGCTTAACGGCTTCCTTGCTGGGCTGGCACCGCACGTTCGTTCGAGTGTATACTCCTATCACAGTTACCATGTTACAATCAACGGAATCCGACATTCAACTATTGGAAGACGGACTTCAACTGGCTCGTCCAAGCTGCAAGTCAGGTTGATTGGACACTACCACGGGATGCGTCACTTGAGGCCTGTTGGTCATTAATGAAGGGGAAGCTTAACTCTACTCGGTTCGTTCCCCTGAAGTATTCAAAAATCGGACCTATCAAACTGCATTGGTTTGATACGGAATATAGACAGTTAGCGCGACAGCGTCGCAAACTTTGGGATAGATACATCAGTTCGGGTTGTGATGAAGATTACACGGTGTACAAGAAACAGCGTAACGCCGCAACGATCAAGAAACGCCAGCAGTTCGAAGAGGAACTAGCATCCTCGGCTACAACTTCACCCAAAAGAATATTTGCCTACTTGAAACGTCAACTGAAACCTGGGGGCGACCTACCGGTCTTAGAGAGCTTAGACGGAAATACGCTCATTTCAAGCGCGGAGCGCAAGGACGCCTTGGCCACGCACTTCCTCACTGCATTTTCCAGTAAACCGGCGGCGGTTTCAGTACCGGCACGGGTTGCGCCAGTCTTGCTCAACAGCCTACAATGTGATGCAGTCGAAGTGTACCAGCTAGTCGTCAACCTCGATGGTGCAAAGCCCCCCCCCCCGGACCAGACGAACTTCACCCACTAATACTCAAGTCCCTATCGATTATCATCTCACCAGCCGTGACAATCCTTTTCAATAAATCGCTCTCTGAAGAATCTGTCCCGAACGACTGGAAATGCTCGATAGTGAGTGCGGCACAATAGCGGAGGTGTTTTCCCACCTCTAGCTGATGTGTATAATCATGATGATGATGCTCGATAGTGAGACCGCTTCCCAAGGATGGTGATTCGAGTAAACTAGAGAACTAGACCGATCTGTTTGACTTCGATATTATCCAAAGTGCTTGAGAAGGTTGTGAAAAAGTGTCTGCTATCGTTCTTCGAATCGATGGACGTATTGACGCCAGCGCAACACGGCTTTACGAAAGAGCGATCCTGCATCATCAACTTGATGTACGCTAACCAACAGTGGGTACGAGCTCTCAACGAACGGAAGGATGTTGATGTGGTGTACATCGACTTTAGTAAGGCGTTTGACAGAGTGAACCACGAGGTACTCCTTGGTAAATTGAGGACATACGGAATCGGTGGCACGTTACTTCAGTGGTTACACGAGTTTATTGTGGGACGAAAATTTAGAGTACAGGTCAATGACTACCTGACAGACTGGTTCCCATCGACTAGTGGCGTGCCTCAAGGAACTGTACTTGGGCCAGTATTATTTCTTATTCATATCAACGATCTTCCGCAGCAGCTCCAGTCACCATGTGCCCTGTTTGCAGATGATTTGAAAATCTGGAGGATCATTGAGAACCAGGACGACTGCGCTCGCCTCCAGCATGACTTAGAGCGACTGTCAACGTGGTCCACTGAAATGCAACTCCCTTTTAACGCAAGTAAGTAGGAGTTCATCAGTATTAACAGACGTCCAGACACTCGATCATACACTTTGGACGACCAGTTGCTCCATCCCAACACATCTATCAGAGACTTAGGAGTTCTCTCACGACATGATATGAGATCACTAGAGAATACAGAGAAATTGTATCGTGCGGGACTTCGTATGTTCTGGGCATTAAGACGAATTTCTCTACATGGTCCGAAGAAACCGTCCCTAGTCTATTCACCTTAAATACGGTGCCCCAGCTTACCACACGATAACCCAATGGGAACCTGAAAAGCTGGAGAAAATACAGCGTATCGCAACTAGAATGGTACCGAGTCTACAAAAGCTTCCGTATGAGAAACGTGAAAGGCTCGGACTCTACACACTATCTTATCGCCGAGTAAGAATTGACCTTATTATGACCCATCGAGTACTACACTTAAATCACTTCCCCATACTGCGGCCAATATTTCATCTGCGGGAACCCTGTAACCCCCGAGGACACCGTTACAAACTCAGGGTCCCCAACATGAACAAACTATCACATCAGCTTTGTATCGAACGAAGAATCGTAAACTTATGAAATACACTACCCGAAGGATTAATAGAGGCCGATTCTGTGAAGTGTTTTAAAACCCGTATCGACGATTATTTCGGAAACCTGTGCTTTTGTGAAACGATGCACATACAGTGCCAAAAGAAGACATTGTATGCCCGGAAATAATGACACTAGTACAAATTCCTAACCGAACACAACTGCTGATGATTCACAACTAAATGTTTTTAATTTTTTGTAATTCGATAGAGTTGTACAGAAACCTTTCTACTTGCTCTTAAATACAGTCTCAGTCTCAGAGTGTCAACGAGGCCAAAACAGCGTTCTTAGACTCGCGAGCTTGAATGCACAGCACGCGATTTCCAAAATGTGCCACGCTAAAAGCTTCGTACAATGCGTAAAATGCCTGTAAAATGGTATAGTCCCCCTCTATCCTCTGTACATAAGTTTCTAGGTAACAAAATGTAGCGTTGCATACTTAGATATAATTCTTCGCATCCTTCAGGGTACGGTACTACCGTATGGCTGAGCTGACACGTCAGTGGTCCTGGTTGCCGCCGAACGCCCACTCGAATCGTTCGATCGGTTCAGTTATTTTGACACTTGTAGCTATTGGCAACTCCAATGAGGAGACTACTTCACATATCAGCAAAGCTCATGCAATTTTATGAAGTCACTGATTTATTGAGGCGGCAGCGTATCCGCTTGTTTGTTGACGATAGAGTAGAGCATTGCAGTAAGTTCGGTATTATTGTTTAAATTTTTGTTCGCTGAAGTCTTCAAGAGCTTAATGGTGTTTGATCACTAGTGCTTGCGGAGCATCGGATGATTAACGCTTAACTCCTCCATTTGGTATAAGGAAAGAAACTCTGGTGCCACACTGGAATGTGCTAAAAGCAAACTGCTTGTGTTGATTTAGTCACTTCTTCCGTTTTCCCGTCGAATTTCGCACTCTTGTTTCAAATCAAGTCACAATAGGCTTTACATTCTCAACATCTCCACTATGGATTGCGAATAAAGTAAAATGGTAGCACAAGTACGAAAATTTATGCATAGGAAAGAGAACACGGTGCACAGGTGTCACCTAAATAAACGGTCCAAATCAGAAAGCACAAAAATACTTCTGGAGAGAATTATTTGGATTTGGCAAGACAGCGTCGAATGCCCGTTTTCCAGCCAGAACGGCACTCTCACTTTACCAAAACGCTCTTTGACTATCCGTTTGAATGTGCCGTAACTGACAAATCGCACATCGGGCGGAGCATCACGAAAAATTTTCAAAATACCCTCAGGGAAGGGCAGCATTGGTGAGACGGAGCTGCTCGAAACTCAGTACCTGCTAGCAAATTAATTGCTGTTACGCACTGCTGATGCCACCTCGATTAGCGACGAAACGTCTGAAATCAAATTGCGTCGTTCGGAAAATTAATCATCACGTGCTGTTTCCGTGAATGGGGGTCTAGGAAGGGGCCACATCAGTGGTTCGTGATACTGGTCATGGCACTCTTGCATACTTTTTCTTACATCTAACTGTTAATACTTCACCTAGATAAATTTCTACTTTTTTGTGCTTTCCTTTCTTTGATTTGGGCTTGAGCCGTATCCCATTTTCCCACGCCTTCGTTACAACGTGAGTCATGGCACCGCACTTTTGCGATCGGATCATATTTGCTTAACTCAACTGACTGAAATGACACCATATACCAGGGATATTGTTATTATTACCATTATATTCCGTTGGAATCAAGGCTGTCTTTAACTGTCACTTACCTTCGCTTCGGTATGATTCATTAAAATCTGGCCAATTGTCTATGAATGTTTCGTTTTATTACCCCTCTGCGCAGTACTTCCCTGCCAATTATTGATGAGAACCAGTTGCCACCTCCAGAAGTCACATATAATTCAGAACGAGGGGTGAAAACAATAGTGCAACATTACTTTAATGAAGACGGTGATCTTATAAAGGAAACAAGAGAGTATCGCACAGAAAAACGCATCGTCGCCGCCCGAATCGCTCAGCGAACAAAATGGGCAAAGTTTGGTGCGGCTAAGAATGATCCTCCAGGAGGGAATTCGGCCAACACTTACCCAGCTGAACTTGTGACCATGCAGTTGATTCAGGCTAGACAGGTTAGTACGCTCATTATTCTCCCTGTACCGTTTTGCACTGGTTTGAATTTAACACAACGTTTATTATAGTTAGCTATCCTCGAGTGCATACGCAAACTCAGTCCCCCCTCTGATTGTGATAGATCTTATGAAGCGAGCGACGCTGTGTGTTACTTTGCTTCCTTTACTAGCCTGCGCAAGAATTCCAAGTACATTAGTAACATCAGGGATCTTATTTGGCAAACGACCGCTTAACTAGATGTACGTTTGCGGCCATACATCCCAGCGCATTTTATATGTACTATAGAGTTAATCTCGTTTAATTGAACGAAATAAAATATCTTCCCCGATTTTTCAGCCGGAACAGGATCAGGACCGATCAGAAGAAGATGCCCTCAAGGCTAAAAATCGTGTACAGCAGTCACTGTGTCGATTTTGTAAAGGTAGTCATTTTTCCCACAAATGTCCGAACAAAAGCGATATGGAGGCCATGGAGGCGTTACGAGAGAAACTCAAATCCAAGACAGATCCTGCCGAGGAGAACAAAGATGTGGTGAGTATATCTGTTCTGTCTATGATGCAAGGCCTTCCACAGCACAGCGTGTTTTTCACATGTTTCGCTTTATTGGGCCAAATTCGCAGAAACTTTTTACGAGCAATTGTGAGTCTTCTTCAAAGCAAAGTATGCTCTGTAGGGCTGTGCTCCTGACCCGGATGGATGTGATACAGAAGTAAATGTTGGTAGCTCATGGTTCATTTGTTATTTGAACTCTAAGCTTGTCAATTATTTGGCAAACGTTTCCTCACCAGTCGAGGTGACATCATCAGTGCGTAGTGCAGTGTAGGATGGCGGTGTGTAGGTAAGTAGAGGGATCTTGCTGAGGGAATGGAATTTGAAGTCCTCTCTTTCACAGTTAGTAACACTGATTTGTTTGCGAGAGCGTACTGTGAATTCACTAACGGGTTTATAAGAAATTTGCAAAATACGGGTTTTGTATCTTTTTCCTCGATTCATGAAAGCCAAACTACTTCAGATATCTCATGAATATTTGCCCCATGTGTCCTAGTTTCGGCATCCGCCACGCAGTGAGGACCTCATTGTGAATGTATGACGAACATAGTTGCCAAGATCCGATAGAACAGTTTCGTCATCCATATGCGCATTACTTGTTTATTTCTTTCTCATCCTTTAAGTATAAGCTGCTCCGACATTACCTTTTCCATAGGGTGCCGGCCGGTAGCCTAAAGGATTGCACGCCTGGTTTGCAATCTTTTGGTCACCGGCTCGAATCTGCGCAGAGGCAGTTATCCTCGTGATATACTCAGCTCACACGCGACAGGTGGTAGTCGCATGGCAGCGAAGCGTCGGTACAGTGTGCGGCACCCTCGGCTAACATGTAAAGTGCCGGCGTACTACTGCTGATGACTTTCCGACAGCGTATGGACGCCGATGATTTCTGATTATCCTTTTGTTACTTGAGTTTAAGTCCGTTTGACGCAGGCCCATACTTTATCTATTTATATGAATTGAGCGACATACAGTGTTGTCATCTCGGAGTTTCCTGTTTTCCAATGCACCGGAGCGAACCAGCTGGTGGATTCGCCTCTAGGAGTGACTAAAGCATCGGGAAATGGAGTTTAGATTCATTTGTGCAATGTGGAAGAAGAAGACGGACAGATTTGTATATCTTGAGCTCTAGATCACTCAATTCACGTGTCTCGATTACTCACGTTCACGGTCTCTTATCTTCACACAGCGCAAAAATAGCATACAGCCTGTTCGAATGTAACGCGCATGGCCTATCGAGTGCGTGTTGCATAGATTGGTTAACTATTCTGCGTACCATGAGGTTTTTTGTGAAGTGAACAGATGTGCCTCGTATCTCCACAGATTTCCCTTGTACTATGATCACTTGCTAGCAGCATTCATTAAGATGATAACTGTTCAGGCTATTCGAGATATTAGTGGTGATATCGAAGAAATCGTATGCTCTTTGTGCCTAGCCGCAACCATAAGTTCTGAAGACGCTCTGCTGTTTTCAACACGAGCACCTAGTCTGCTAGGCAATGTAATTTCTCATGGCCTTCAATCATTTCCTCTACAGAATTCTTATCTCGTACTCACCCACCGCCCAGCCATCCTCTGTGAAATGCGGCTGATTGGCTTCCCTACGATAAGCTGTGCGTTAATGTGTTGTTGTTTGGCGTGAGGTGTTTTCAGTCTGAATTTTGCTAACTTCATCGAACTTGATATCAGGAAGACCGGGAAAATTTCGTAGTTGGCCTTAACTTACCGGCGTCCTCGCTTGCACTTATTCAGCACCCTAGATTTAGTTGAACGTAATGCGAGTAATTCGATCGAAACCTGTACTGATCACAACATAAGTTGTCCTGCGTGTCAGAATACGATTATTTTTCCAATGATAACTTTGCACACCGCATTTTCCCTCAGTAGCATCGATGCTGATGTTACTGTTAACGTGTCCAAATATGGTGCTGTAAGTTCTAGCAAGCAGCGGAATTATTGACTCTCGAGTTGGCATTTTACGAACTAATTCACATCCACTGTGATTATTTTAACTGTTCGATTCTACCCTTATTTTTTCGGAGATAGCTGATTACAACTTATGTTATTTTATAAGGCTGCTTTCAAATCTCTAGATCCAACGGGTGTTATATGGAAGGAGTTACTAGACTAGCCCACTGCGACTATCCTTTCAGATTCAGTTTCCGATCATCAAACCCTTTAGATGACCACCAATCGCCCAGTGAACGAGGCCTGTGACTATCCGTTCGTATGGAACTATAAACACTGAGACAGCGATATTGCAGCTACGTCGCAGAACAAACCCTGGGGATAGAAGCTCTGACGAGTTCGAAATGCACCGGACTTATTGTCCGTCATGTCGTAGTATTGCCCATCCATTGGAAATAGAGTCACTTAATGAGGTCGCCAACTAGTTGTCTGGTTAACTCCGACAGACTTTCCTCAGGAACATTCAAAGCAGGTTCTCATTGGTTAATTTCGTTCAGCTCACATGTGTACGGGATGACCACGTTGAGAGTGCAACCATAGTTGGTCATGTTAAGACCACCATGGTCGCCCCGGCTATTCCGATTGGCTGTTCGCGGAGACCTGCCTGCTCCCGATTGGCCGATTAAAAAGGCAAGGTCGTAGACAGTGTAATGACCGCCAGATACGAGATGATTACACAACGCAGAGTACCGATATTTATTTGTTTGTGGCGACCCTGAACGTTCTCTTCTTTACTTACCAATAATACTGTTAGATTGTGCAAAAACACTCACTTGCCCGTACACTAGAGACCCTATCGATCGATATTTGCTGTTTATCAGAAACCCGCCTGCAAGATTCGAGCTCCGTGCTTACCCTGCGACCCCCATATGCGACACCGGCGGCACATTCTCATTGCGCCTGTCTGGCGATGATGCAGCTTCAAATGCCGGTCAAGCTGGCGTCGGCATTGTTTTGAGTCCCCGGGCTGAAGCTGCCCTGATTGATTGGGTCCCGGTAAACAGTAGGATGTGCGCCGTTAGATTAGCTGGTTCGTTCCGTGCTACGAAGTCGCGCGGGGACAAACGGTGCCTGTTTGTCATTGCGGCTTACGTCCCTACAAACTAGCACTGATTCGGTAAAAGATGATTTCTATCAGCAACTGCACGAGCTCCTTCGTTACAGAAGAAGCACGGATACTGTGGTGTTGGCTGGTGATCTAAACGCCCAAGTCGGAAGATTGTCCTCTGATGAGCTTCATCTGGGCGGCCAACATGGTGTGGGCTCCCGTAATGATAATGGTGAGCGATTGCTACAGCTGTGTGAAGATGCTCGCCTCTTTCACGCGAGCACTAACTTCCGACACAGCACCCGCAGAAGCGTGACGGCGGCCAGCAGCCTCGGGCCAGCCATGGACGCAAATCGATCATATCGCGATCAGTTACCGTTGGAAAGGCTGTGTCCAAAACTGTCGCTCGATTTGGAGCACGAGCGTGGACTCTGACCACGCACTTGTCTGTGCCGAACTCCGGGTGCGTTTCGGTGGACGTCCGCAACGTCGATGTGAACGGATTGACACCAGCCAGCTGGCGAAGCCAGATGTTCGGAATGTGTATCAAAGTGCGCTGACATCTGGGCTGAGCAAGCGCCCACTAAACACCGATGAAGATCACTGGTCGCATATTCGTCAAAGGTTGCTGTTAGCAGGCATGTCTTCATGTGGCAAAGCAAATTGCAAAACCGGACATTGAGTCTCTACGCAGTCTCTGGAACTTATGGATGCTCGCCGATGTATTCCGGCTGAAAACGAATATAATGAGGCTTGCAAAAATCTCAGGGCAAAACTACGTGTTGGCCTGATGAAGGACCGCGAAAACTGGTGGTCTCATCGTGCATCGGAAATGGAAACAGCCGCTGCCGTTGGTAATCATCGTAAGTTATTCCGTCTGATACGGGAAACAGGCAGCAGAAGACCTGGTGTTAGCGAAACCATACGCGACGAGAGTGGGCAGCCGATCCACAGCCTGTCAAAACGCTTGGAGCGTTGGGCCGAACACTTTGCAAGGCAATCTATCCAACATGAGTTATCGCTTTCTTCTTCGGGCATTGAGCACCCTTCTCCCTGGGCCGTCTCCTTGGATTTGCCCTCACGTGCAGAAGTCGAACGTGAGATCAAACTGTTGAAATTGCATAAGGCCGCAGGGGCAGATACAATTCCCCCAGCCCTCTTCAAATTCGGGGGACCTGCTCTAATAGATGATATACACGAGTTGCTAGTAAAACTTTGGGAGCAGGAGATAGTCCCAACAGACTGAAACCGCTCCGTCATTGTCCCAATTTTCAAGGGAGGCTCTCGTTTAGAATGCGGCAATCATAGAGGGATCAGTCTGATTTCGATTGCCTCTAAATTGCTTGCCTCCCTCATTCTCCACAGACTGACTGGCACTCGTGAAAGCCAGATTCGTGAAGAGCAAGCCGGATTTCGTCGAGGTCGCGGCTGCATCGACCACATCTTCACTTTACGTCAAGTGTTGGAGCACCGCCATGTTTATTGGCGACCCACCGTTGTCGTGTTTCTTGGCATAAAAGGTGCCTTCGACTCAGTCGATCGATGTGCCCTTTGGGACTGTCTGTTGAGGAAAGGTGTACCTGATAAATATGTAAATATTATCAAAGCGCTGTACGCGCATAGTTCGGGCAGGGTGAGGGTTAATGGCAAACTCTCGCCACCCTTCAGTATCACCAGCGGTGTGAGACAAGGATGCCCGCTGTCACCTTTCTTCTTCAACTTCGCTATTGATGAAGTCATGGAAACAGCGTTCGCTGGACACGACCTAGAAGGTGTGGAGCTACTTCCTGGTGAGCGACTTCTTGACTTGGAGTATTCGGACGACATTGCCCTAATCTGTGACAGCCCCCAAACATGCCAAAGAGCACTGGACCGATTAGCACTGGCTGTCAATCGTTTTGGGCTATGCTTTGCTCCATCGAAATGCAAAGTACTTCTCCAAGATTGGCAGGGACCCAACCCTGCGCTAACGCTTGGTGGTGATCTGCTAGAAGTCGTTCAGGAATTCAAGTACCTGGGCAGCTATATTAGCACCCGTGGGATTGAAGATGAGGTTACGAACCGTATAGCAAAAGCTCGAGGTGCTTTTGCCAATCTCCGCCACCTGTGGAGCAGACGCGACATTACTCTCGCTCTCAAGGACAGAGTTTACAATGAAGCCGTCCGTTCAACTCTCTTATATGGCTGTGAAACCTGGCCCATCAGGTTGACAGACATAAAGAGGCTCGTCACATTCGATCATCGCTGCCTTCGCAGCTTAGCTCATGTCTGGTGGGAGCACCGCGTGATCAATGAGCGTGTTCGACGTCGCGTATTTGGTGCAGGAAGAGCGAGTGAACCGCTCAGCACGATTATATCACGCACCAGGCTCCGATGGCTGGGCCACGTGTTGCGCATGCCAGCACACCGACTTCCGCGACGTGCATTGTTTGCGCGTTGTGGGTGCGGTTGGAAGAGGAGGAGGGGAGGCCAAGTGATGACTTGGTTGAGAGAAATGAAAACCCTCACTTCGAAGTTGGCGTCGGTTGGTGCATCCCGATTGCCTGGCTGGGGTCCTAAGGATGGTGAACACGTTTGGTTGGACACACTTGCTGATATGGCTAGGAGCCGACTCCAATGGCGTTTGTGTTGTGAGTTCCTTTGTCCATCCCCCTCCAATCATGATCTCACTTGATAGGTATAATATGACTCTTTTATGGCAGCCAGCTGTTAACTCTCCGGAATGATGTCCATCCGTTACTGGGGACTCAGCGGGCGTGCCAGTTTTCCTTTTCTTATCTTTTGTATTGCGGCACAATAGCTGAGGTGTTTTCCACCTCCAGCTAACGTGTAATGATGATGATGCGAAAACACTTTTGATTAACCAGTGCGATTATCATGGTCGATTTCTGGAAAATGGTTGAACTTTGGTTCTTTTAGGGTTCACTGAGCTGTTCGTTAGGTGCTTCTCCTGACAGGTTATTTGTCCGACATTGTCACTGACTACTCAGTCTAGACAAAGGCCGACTCCACTGAGCCTGTTCGAGTTTTCATCGGCATGGAGACCACATTATTTCCCTTTTCGCTGCGCCATGCGCTGCACATGCGTACCAATGTCCACCAACCCCCATCCTGGCTTCTTGTTTCGCGTTATAGCTTTGGACAGCATGGGCGAACTGTTGAGTGTCAGCTGTGTGGCGGGTTTGAGTGCGCGTCCACCGTCGTCCTTTTACTATGGCAGATAGTAGCGTCATCAATCTTGCGCGTACAACGATCCCATGACTGAATTATGCAGGATGGCGAATTATACGTGCTTAGTAGACACTCCTCCCGGTGCACACCACGCGAAAATAAAGTCTATCCCAACCTGAGGCTAACGGATGAGTATTGCAAATACTTCTTTGGCTTCCTAATGAAACTAAGCCTTCACTTCCCGTTTATTAACTCTGTTTCGATTCACTTCTCCTCTTTTGTTTAACTTGCCTGTTCTTTGCTATTCTCATTGCATTAAATTCTTTATCGTACTTAGCATGCATGTTTTATTCAAGGCAGTATATCAGTTGGCCGTTGTTATTTATCTGTTGCGGTTTGTCATCCTCATGAGTTTCGTACCTGACGACTACAAATTGTTTACGTGCGGCTGAGGTTGTTACATGTTAAACACTCAAACCACGTCGTGTTTTCCCTACTTTGGCTAACTGTATCAGGTTATTCTCCTATTACTCTCCTTGTCATCGCAAAGACTGCAGGGCACATGATGCGAATAAGGTTGATTCCATTCTAACATTATCCTTAGGATTTTGTCAGTCTTAGTTGGAATGCAACCGATGAGGAACCCGCTTGTCCTGCCATCAGCTGATGGCAGACAACGATCCCTTGTCACTGGTACACAGCTGGAAACTCGTTGAACTGAGTTACAAATTAGCATTTTAGTTCGGCTTTTTGATGGTCCAACCTAATAATATAAGCTTATATCGTGGTCGACAAGCTTTCACATCCATTTTGGATTTTTCTGCTATGAAGGTCAGCTTACATCTTAGCACCGACGCACTGATTTCCTTTTCTGTGTTGGTTCTCTCTTGATCTCTTAGTTCTTAAATCACTCGCTATTTTGTTACCGTGACGATGTCAGCTATATCTTCCGTGCTCAGGTGCTTGGACTATAGTCGATTGATGTACTGGCCGGACCTGACGAGCAGGTGCAAATGTGAATGGTGCCATTAACCCTTTATTGCATAGAGTATCTGCAGTCGAAAGCGAAAGCTTGCTGATTTCCCTCCAAATCACTCCTCTGTTTCGGCGTTCAAAATACGGTTTGCGGTCAAACAGAATGACAGACAATCGAAATAAACCGTAAATTTGTGTTTTATCACGAGAACTTACTCTTAGTAAGAACAACTTTGTGAGAGCGTTGGCAGACAATTTTCCGGTATGTTGCCTACAGACAACAGTATGCAGTAACAGGTTAAAATCAGTAGTCGTGTTTCTTTTCTATTTTGCTATGGGATGCCCCAGAAGGCTACTTGGTAAGCCACGTACAATTGAATGGGATACGGTACCTTAACACGTGCACGAATCGATTCCAAAGATAAGATCTATAGGAAGATGTAATTCTCTAACTATTTGGCTTACCGCCAGGCCCGTAGACGAGTAGCCTAAATGTTGCCTAACAGGAGTTCTATGGTTTATGCTGCGGGCTATCTGTGATGTGGGCAACGGACGGTAAAAGTACACAGTAACGATCCGAAAACGCGGTAGCGCGGTTAACCGAGGGTCATATTTACAATGTAACTGCGCTCAAATTAATAAACATTTGGAAATTGAAAATTTGCATGGATAAAGAAGGGTGATAAATCGTAACATCGTAGTTTATGAACCTGCAAATAACGACCTACGTGTTTTTATTTCTATTCTTCTTATCAAGCCGGAAACCGTGGTTTCCACAGGACGATACCTACCTCCACCACTAAGGAATGCTGCGAACATGGCAGCTGCCCTCAGCGGATCTACCGGTTCGGAAAAACGTTCTTTCGACGGACATACCGTTCGTGTGTCCAACCTTCCGTCGGACACCGTTACAGAAGACCTGAAGCTTATATTCAGTCCATTTGGACAAGTCACACGAATTTATCCAGCAAAGGACAAGGTGACTCAACAAAACAGGGTAAGTCTGAATTAAATCTCTACTATCAATCTAAATGCTAGCATCGCGGTATTCTCACTGCTTGTCAATCGCCGTAATGCTGTCACGTAAGCTCAGGCGATGTCAATGCTCGGAAGCTGATCGGACGTCATGGACAACAGTGTCCAGTGCTCGCGACTCAGTTGAAACGGTTTGCCATCTTACAATACCGCTGTTGGATGCTTCGGACTAGTTGTATGCTCGTTATGAGTTCTGTGGCCTTCCTTCCATCATGCAGATTACAAACAGCGTGTCCCCTTAATACATTTACTAAGCGCAGCCTAACGATGACTGAGCGTCTCCCAAACAGGCTTACGGCAAGTGTTGACTCAAAACTATTGCGAGTCAACTCGTCCATTGCAAGGCATCTCGTAAGGCAATGTGACTAACAGTTTCTCCTCACTAGATGTCATTGCTTACACCTGACATCCAAAGTGAGGCACCACAAATATGGCGTTCACATAGTTGTCAAGATTATTGCTTTAACCAATGTATATGGTTGGGTAGTCGAATTCCTCATGGCCTTTTAAGAGTCAAGTTCTCTACACCATTTTGTGCCACGGAAACCGCGAGAGCAGATTTGGCACAGTCGTATTATTAATGATGGATAGCATGTCTGCATTATAGCCGGGGCACAGGTTAGTTGGGCTAGAGACCGTGAGTGTTACCACGCTGAAGCTTCTGTGTCAGAAGTGCAATGGAGCTACAGTAACTGGCCAGCACCAGTTTTACATCTCTCTTACACATCGAATAACGGTGGCTGCGAGGACGCGCAGACCGTTCCCCGGAATAAGCCATCGTTGCTCAAGATCTAGTTGCGTTATGCACAGAGCTGCTGCGCACGAAAGCTCGTAGCTTTGATGTTGCGTGGTTCAAGTCGGACACAGGCTCCCATTTTACTGTCCATCTAGCGGTAGCTCTGCGCTCTGATTGTTATGTAGTGATACCGAGTCTCCCTTGTGACGGATGTTTGTTCGCATTCTGCTCTCGACGTCGATTGTTTCCCATCTGTTTAATCAAATATTGAAATTTGTTACCCCTATACTCCCTTGAGCGTTGGGTACAATGTTGGTCTTTGAAAACCTGGTCTCGGTTAGTTTACCACGATTGTACTGCATGGGAGTGTTTTAGCAACTATTTGGATTAATTCATTTCGATTTCAGGGTTTCGCCTTCATTTCTTACGCGACCGAAGCGGAGGCGAAAGCAGCTATTTACGGGGTCAACGGCCTCCGTCACAACCATGTCGTTTTGAAAGTCGACTGGGCAAGGCAAGTTCTTGCTTCATCTCCGCTTTTTCTTTTGCGGTGGGGATGGTGTTTGATCACATGCTTTTTCTGTATTTGTATGTACTCCATCCGTGCCCCATTCTGAGGCTGATGTTGCATTCTTGATGCTTATTCACCGCAGTTGGCCTAAACCAAGTTACACTTAAACTCGGTCTCTTTACGCTGGATAAATTTCATTCCACTTTACTTGCTTTGTTCTGCCTACCTGAATACTCTTCTATTATCTGGCCACATTGCTTACGCTGATTGCGCTTATCTTCGGTAACTTCGTTGCGTTTGTAGCGTTTTTAAGTAACTTGTGGGCATTTTCCCTATCGCGGATTCCTTGTTAACCAACTTTCTTCATATGCTAATTTAGGGAAGAGTTATGCCACCATGTCTGTATGCATTATTGGATTTATTTTATTTCATCTTGCCGTTTCAAGTGATTGGCTGTTGCTTGATATCCAGGTGTGGCTGCGCTTGATGTGCATGTTGACAAGGTGCCTACCTGTCTACTACCCACTAGTCCATACTGGCTCCAGGAGACAGTTGGTCGTTGCTGGAGGGGACCGGGTGCACGGTCCTTGTGGTCATGCTAGCCTCGGAGAGTGGTTCCATGCACTCAGTGTGGAGCGGACTACGGTTCAGTCACTGCCTTGTGTGCGCTTGATTCCCCAAATACAGTATGCTTGTGTTTGCGTGTGAAGGAGTGTGGGCCGGCTCCGCTGATGGAACGTGGCTCCCATCCACGTGCCTTATTCCTTCGGGTTTACACTGGATATGGGGCGTGTGGTTGGGGCTGTGGGTAATGCAGCGCAAGCCACCCATGGCCCCTCTGTAGGCGCAGGCGTCCTGTGGCTCGCCACAGTGACAAGCAAATCCGAAACCGGATGCCACCAACCATGTACTTCGTTCCCTACAGATAAGAATAACTCAAAATATTAATAGCTCGAGTTGGCTGTTGGTTGGGTAAATCATCACCGAGCTCAGCAGGCAACGCAATACCTACATTATTTCTACCTTTGTATATCATCTAAAAGTGTGGGCAGATATTTCAGCTCTTGGAGAGTTGGTACCATATAGAAAGTCGACATGTGCCTGTGACTTTGATACATCTTCTGTTGTGACAGTCGTCGTGGATTTGTATTTAAGACAGTCTGTACTCCTTACATGTTTGTTTTCAGACCATCTGCGAACTGACTTGTCTCTTGGAATAATGTCTTCAGGAGGACAGAAGCTGTTTATGTTACCAATGGCTCTTCGCCGTTTTCTGGATCGACTTTCTCAGTTGTATGCCCCATTTTTGATCGACTGGAGCCCTAAATAAAATCATTCGCTATCAAAAATTAATACACAAGGATACTTTTGCAAAACCTCTGATTTGTTGGCTTTCTACGTGATTTTGTAAATGCATCTGTCAAATCTCGGGATTCCCACTCGTCTAGTTGCTCCCCTGTGGACGCCACTTCAGCGCAAAAATTCGAAGTAGCTACACAGTTGTCTTTTGTACCTAATTGTATATCGACCAGTGAAACATGGATGAAATGAACAAAAGTCCAAATGTGTAGCGAGAATGATCGGCTCACGTTAACAGGCTTTGGGTATCCGTCTCTATCGGTAAGTACCGTTTCCAGTACTTGAAGAGAAGTGACGGGACGAAGGTATAATTTGGGTTCTGTAGTGTTCCCGTGTATATGCTAAAAATACGAGGCTTGACTAGCTGTGAGGAACTGCGCGATTTAGTGACGTTGAGTCCGACCGTGGTGCCATGTATGTCTTAGATCGGACAAACAAATTCAACATACACTTCAGCATTCTGCGAACAACGTCTAAGTGTACAACAAGGTGATGATTGTATTTAGTGTTTTACACAGCAAATGGTAAGAAGTCCGACGTGAGGAAGCGAATGCAAGGATGCCGCTGACCGCGTCGCATCCGATGCTGTGTCCACCCACTGATGATAAGCAACAGCCCGGAATCGGCCTTTCGGAAAGTTACTCCATACCCTTATGTGCTGATCTCTGGGTTTCGTCTAGCTAACTATAGTATTGACCGAAAATACACACCGAGGCAGGCATACGGAATACATGATCGAGCAGACGAAGGCGATTACTTCCACAGGCACTCCGCTGAGACACCAGAAATTTTGCCAAGATTCGTTTGAATGTATATTTTCAGCGAACGTTAGCAGGTACATGCCGACAACTAGACAAAGGACAAATAGGTGAGCTGTGACCACAACGGGCACACATTCAGGAAGCAGTCTGCATCTGGACATCGCTTGAACCCGAATATAGAGTAAGGATTAAATAAATAAATAGATTTATTCTCAAAAGTTTCGAGGCACGCCCAGCTAGGCATGATTGGTGCTGTGTCCGTTTGGTTCCGTCAGGAGATGGGGGCACATCATAGGATTTCCCATACAGTAAGGCCACGAAAACAGAAGTAGCCCAAAAAGGAAACGCTCAGTGGGACAGTAAGCAAAGGAGGAATCAGTTGGAGTTCTTCGCAGCCAGCTTCCAAATCAGATAATCGTCCATATGCCCGGAAAACACTAGACTGCAGTTTCAGTCTGTTGGGCATCATCAGTAGTGCGCATCCATCAGGATTCGAACCCATGACTACCAGCGGTTTGAAATGCAAGTCAGCAGCTTATGACACCGTTAGTGTACGTCGTGTATTCCGGGACCAACCCTGTCCTCTGCAACGTTCGTAACTTGTATGGCAGTTGAGGATAGGACGTGCTATATCGCAGTTAGCTTGTAAATCATGACGGTCCGAAGCTGTCCCCAGTGGCATAAGCTGCTGACTTGCGGTTCAAGCCGGGGTAGTCATGGGTTCGAATCCCGAAGGATGCGCACTACTGATGATGAACAACAGGCTGCAACTGCAGTCTAGTGCTTTTCTGGGCATGTGGACGACTATCTGATTTGGAAGCTAGCTCCAAAGAACCTCATTTAATTACATCAAAATCCCCTATTCATGAGTACATCAAAGGAGGAATCGTCCTGCAACATACGCTGCGGACTTCATCGCAATCCATCCGCTGTTCACCCGCACGGTAGTTCCCACACGTCGCTTTATAAGGCGTCTGTAAGAGCATAGATTGACAAGCGTTAAGGTTTTCACATAGTGAGTGCCGGATAGCCAGAAGGCATAAGAGAGATATCCCGGAGAATGGAGCCACATGTGGATTTCTCAAACATGTATCCGCGGTCCGAGATGACCACTTGGCGACTGAAGCATCAAAGTATAGCATGCACTTTTCATCATCCAAGTGCAAAGCTTTCTTTCAAGACCGACATGTGCCTGTGGTGAGACATTAGAGGTTGTGAAGCTCTGTTTACTTGAGAAGCTGCATCATTGCTGGAGCGGCTGTTGGAGACGAGATTTTGATGCGCATTTCAAGAACTCGTCTTGCTTCCACCAGGCTGAGGCATATGTGGCGCCGCCATGACATCAGAGGTAGAGTTTATTGTGACTGCGTTGCACTGTTGTACAAAGCGAAACCTAACCCGTCCGTACCGTTGATTTGCGCCGACTGTTCGTCTTTGAGCACCACTGCTCGGGTTTGGTGGCTGCACCGTGTAAACAGCGTGGAATTTAGTGAGTATGTTTTGAATGGAGGCAACTATTCGATCGAGGAGCTCGTCTCACTGCATCAATAGCAATGGCTTGAACACGTATTGCGCATGCCCGTTTAGCGTTTTCCGCATCGTGCAGTTTTCGGCTACTAGACAGGACTGGGGAAGGCGGTGTGGTGGACAGCCCACAACTTAAAAAATCGGCATAAAAAACTGACAAAACAGTTCGTCTCGGTTTATTGTTCTCGACTTGTTAATTTGAGTCCCAGGGATGCGGAGTGTCACTGGTTGGAGAACCTAGCAGTCATGACTTAAGACCGACGTCAGTAGCGATGCGTATTTCAGCGTGTTGCAGTAATCCCTTTCCCTCCACTGAGTAAACAAAATACTAAAAAACTGCGTCGTATTGCTCTGTGAAGCGTATGATCCATGTTGCTTAAGGTGTTTCGCTGAGCATTGTCATCGGTCGATTTGAGAGCCAGCTTTGATACTGCATGATGACTCAGCAGTTCCATCGGCTGATGTGGTTTCGACCGTAGAACCGTTATCAGAAAACATTTAATCAAGTTACGAAGTTATCCACCTTCCGAATAGTTATCAAACCATCCATCCATTTCATCCATGACACTCAGAGAAGCAATCATACCATTAGCAGGCTTGTAGACCCTAGGGGGAAGAAGGTGCTTGGAATCCCTTTAATTGTCACAGCGTATGGCATGGTTGGCGGCATCCGGTTTCAGATTTGCCTGTCACTGTGATCAGCCAAAGGACGCCTGCGCCTACAGATGGACCACGGACGGCTTGCGCTGCACAACCCACAGCTCCATCCACCCACCCCATATCCAGTGTAAACCCGAAGGAATAAGACCGGGAGGCATGTGGATGGGAGCCACGTTTCATCAACGGAGCCGGCCCACACTCCTTCACAGGCAAACACAAGCACGTTGTATTTTGGAATCAAGGCGGCGGCTGGACCGCAGGGAACCGCTCTTCGAGCCTAGCACGGTCACAAGGACTGTGCACCCTGTCCCATCAAGCAACGACCAACTGACTTCTAGAGTCAGTATGGACGAGATATGGTGACATAACTCTTCACTAAATGAGCGTATGGAATAAATTTGTTGCCAACAAATCCGCGATAGGTTCAAGACGTCAGGAAATATATTGTAAGAAAATGCCATAGATGCGAAAACGTTATCGAAGTTAACTGCAATTAGCTTAAGCGACGTATGCAAGTTAATAGAAGGTAGTTCAGGTAGGCATTTATATGAGATAAAAAATGCATTGGGACAATACAGCAAACCCACCACCTGAAATAAAGAGACTCAGCATGCAAGCACGCGATTAGTAAATCGAATGCAGCATACCTACCAACGCTACGTCGGTTCTGCCTACGTTCTCAGCAGGACTCGTCGTCGTTTCTGTGGTGGCCTCGCTCTTGGTTCACTAGGCCTGCCTGACTCAGGCACTCGCGGCCGCAAATGCTACAGCACCATGCGTTTGATGTCGATGGAGTACAACCCATCGGCGCCTACTGCTTCTTCTCCGCATGCAAGAGCGCTTTCCCCTGCACTTTCGTAACCGCCTTCGTGATCAGGTCGCGCCATTCACGCCGCTCAACCGCCTTCGATTCCCATGACCTACAATCATTAGAACGTGATAGGCTCACTTTGATCATGTCCTGGTAACGAAGCTTCGGTTTCCCCACATGCTGCTTCCCCAAACTCAGCTGACCATATAATAGTTGCTTCGGTATCCGCGTCGAATCCATACGCCACACATGACCGAGCCACCTCAGTCTTCTCAGCGAAACTGCATACATTCCACTTCGTCGCAACACCGTGTCTACAACTGTCCCACTAACCGATACGCAGAATCCGTCGCAAACACTGCTGATGAAACCGCTCGAGATATCGCATATCCCGACGCTACATCGTCCATGTTTCACTGCCGTAAAGAAGAACGGATAGCACCATGGATTTGTACACCATCAGCTTCGTGCCAACGATAAGATGGTGATTGTTCCGCACTCGGTACTCTAGCTTTCCAAATGCCGCCGCTACCTTCGACCCGCGGATACGAAACTCACTGTGTAGCTGTTGGTCAGTCGACATCACACTCCCAAGGTAGCTGAAGCGGGAGGTGGTTTCCAATACCTCAGCACCAATGCTGATTCGCGGCAATCTTGAAGATTGCACCTCCGGTGAAGGCTGAAAGAGACAGACAGTTTTGCTTGTGTTGATGGTGAGCCCGAATTTGGCCGCTGTCGAAGCCAGAGCACTAGTCATGTGCTGCAACTCATCCGCGCTGTGTGCAAACAACGCACAGTCGTCAGCAAACAGCAACATACGGATAGTTGTCTCACAGACTAGAGTTCTCGCACCGAAACCACGGATGTTTAGCAACCCACTATCAATACGGTGCTCCACACGAACACCGTAAGCACAAGCCGCATCAAAAGCCCAAGGCATCATTGCATGAAGATAAATATTAAACAGGGCAGGAGCTAAACACAACCTTGCTTCACACCAGAGACAACTGCAAAGTCATCCGAGGTCTCTCCACTCAGCTGCACCCTCGCTCGCATACCACTGTGCAGACATTCAACTGAACTTACAAACTTACGCGAGCAACCAAACTTACCCAACACCAGCCACAACGCTTCGCGGTTCAACGTATCAAATGACTTGGTGAAAGCAACAAAAAGCGAATACAAAGGCTGGTATCGTCCTCTTCACCTCTCATGCAACTGACGAGCCGCAAATACCACATCTGTGGTGCTGCAGCCCGAGCGGAATCCATATTACTCTTCCACCAGGTTCGGTTCCATAACCTGACTGACGAGGCGATTGGGCAGGA